CACACGCTCTCTGAGGTCAGCAAATCAGTTTCTCTTGAGTGTCCCAAGAACGAAGCGTAAGCTTAGAGGCGATCGAGCCTTCGCAGTTGCTGGTCCTAAACTCTGGAATGATTTACCACTGTCCATTAGACAAGCCTCTACCCTGTCTGTTTTTAAGTCTCTTTTAAAAACTCATTTATTTTCCCTGGCATTTTGATATTTTTGTGTTGATTTTAGTCATTTGATTGATTATATTTTATATTGTTGTTTGTGGTTTATAATTTATATTGTTTTATTGCAATGTACAGCACTTTGGTCCACTCTGGTTGTTTTTAGTGCTTTATAAATAAAGTTGGTATGGTATGGTATAAATGTATAAGCATAATGGTGTGTCAGTATATCAATCTAAATATGAAGCACACACACACAAAGGCAAAGTCTGCTGCTGGTGGAGGGTCTAATGCTGCATTGTAAGCGAAGTGATTTGAGAGCCCTTTTTCCCACACAGGTAATTTGATTCTTGGAGGCCGTTGTTGGATGGTTTTGGGTTCGCCCATGTAGCCAGTCCCCACTCTAATAAAACCAGAGAGCTGTGCAGGACCAGGAGGCTAAAAACCCCCATTAACTTTTCTCCCATCAACATGGGGACAGGTAACCTCATGACCCTGCAAAGCTGCCATACTCCCTGATCATGTGACCTGGGAGTTGCAGAGCTGATGACTAGGCAGCTGGAGTCAGACATCAATCTAGAAGAAAACTTATCTGAAAAGGCCTGAAGGAATAAGAGGCAGAGATTTATAAGCATTTTCATGCAGCAATTCAAGACAGCAAATCCTCAAACAAAGCACACAAAACCACCTACATACATAAAACAATCCAAAAAATATAAATATTAGTAGGAAACGAAATATATAAAAAGGTGTTTAAATGCATATGGCTTTATAACTTCATAGCTGGCCAACAAAGCGCAAAACTACAAAGGCTTCAAAAGCACATATAATGTAAAAAAAAGTTTGTAAGTGGGAATGAGATTGATCATACAATGGTCCGAAAGCCCAAGGGCTGCATGGGGAACAGAGCAATAGGTGTCCTTAATTACAGTATAGCAATGGTCCAGTGTGTTTTTGTCCCTGGTGGAACAACTGACCTGTTGTCTGTATTTGGGCAATTCGTGGTTAAGGTTTGCTCAGTTAAAACAATCACTGTACTGATGACATCTAAATAAAACACCCTCAAGTGAATGGTTGAAGTTACCTAGTAGAAATGTAGGCACATCAGTAGATATCTTAATAATAATAATAATCTTTATTTCTATAGCCCTCTACAACTCCAGGAGCACCAGAGTGCTGTACAACACACACAAAAACAATAACAATAGAGATCACAGGTAGGGGCATAATAAAATACTAAGCCATAAATAAAAGACAAACAATATAAACATGTTTGGCAGCAAAAGCCTGCTTAAAGTAGTGGCCTGCTAAAATAGTGAGTTTTCGAAATACACAGGTAGGGGCATACTAAAGTGCTAGGCCATAGCTAAAACTTAAACAGTCAAAACAGGTTAGGCCTCAAAAGCCTGCTTAAAATAATGCGTTTTTAAGGCCGACTTAAAGGCCACTAATTCACTTTCAGCCCGTAGTTCAATAGGAAGAGCATTCCGCAGTCTGGGGCCGAAAATGGAAACGGATCGGTCACCCCATTTTTTATAGCAGGATCGCGGCACTGCCAGCAACGAATGATTAGCGGAGCGGAGAGCTCTACGCGGCACATAATTTGACAGCAGGTCAGATAGGTAAGCTGGGGCGAGACCATGAATAGCCTTAAAAACAAACAATAGGATCTTAAATTTGATTCTAAATTGGATCGGAAGCCAATGAAGGGCACGAAGAACCGGGGAGATATGGGCAAACCTGGGAGCATTTGACAGCAGCCGAGCTGCGGAATTTTGGACCAATTGTAATCTTTGAAGCAAAGTCTGGGGTATTCCCACATACAAGGCATTACAATAATCCAACTGTGATATAATAAACATGTGAATAGCCTTCTCCAGATCTCCATGTGACAGAAAAGGTTTAACCTTCGTTAACAATCTTAGATGGAAGAAGCAAGACTTAACCACTGCCCTAATCTGTTTCTCAAAATTAAAGCTACTATCGAAAATTATTCCGAGGTTTTTCACGGTATCAGATAGAGGGTGTGATATAATAAACATGTGAATAGCCTTCTCCAGATCTCCATGTGACAGAAAAGGTTTAACCTTCGTTAACAATCTTAGATGGAAGAAGCAAGACTTAACCACTGCCCTAATCTGTTTCTCAAAATTAAAGCTACTATCGAAAATTATTCCGAGGTTTTTCACGGTATCAGATAGAGGGAAAACTGAGGTGCAAAGGTTGACTACATTTGGCGATGGGTCAGGACTAATAAGAATGTATTCGGTCTTGTTCAAATGCAGAAAATTTAGAGCAAGCCATTGCCTAATATCCCAAATGCAATTATGCAGCGGGGTAAGAGCATTGGAGTCAGATAGGAGTAGTGGCATATAAATCTGAACATCATTTGCGTAAAAGTGTAAATTAACATTGTGGCTAGAAATAATTGGCGCAAGAGGTGCAATACAGTGAGGAAGAGAAGTATTTGAACACCCTGCAATTTTGCAAGTTCTCCCACTTAGAAATCATGGAGGGGTCTGACATTCACATTGTAGG